AAGATAGAAAGATTGTTACGTGGTCCAATTCCCATGGATATTCCAATATAAATCTATGTACATGTATTATTTATGACTGTATACTGCATACCATTGAACTATTTTTAAAAGAATCAGTTATATTATCGATCATATGATTGCATGTAATTTATTAATATCATACATCTAATAATTTAAAATTTAAAATAAATGAAATATTATTTGAAGTTTGACTAATGTAGTGAATAAAAAAGAATACTTGAATTTTTTACTGGTCACGTGATTTACGAAATACAAGATGGTACTTAATCAGCCAATCAGTTTTCTTTTCATTTCATCATGGAGGAGATGCCAAGGAATCTTTGACATCTCAGTTTGTAATTTTCCTTCGGTTTCTCATTGGCTCATGTTCAAGTATAGTTGTCATTTAATCAGATCAATCGATTCTTAGACTTGGATTCTCTAAATTCTTGATAATCTGAATTTCGAAGATGGAACGAAGGTTATGTCATCTTGATACCTGAAATACCTTTGATTCTGTTGGCTTGCGAATTAGGCCGAATGTTTCAAATTGTATCGCATAGTTTATCGAACGACATAGTAATCGGTTATATGAATTAATTAGATATTATTTATATTTTTTATTATTTATAAATCATTTATACACACATACATTAACATTTATTAATTTCTACATATAATTTAAGTATAATAAAAATAAAAACTTTGAAGAACAATCAAAAGAAACAGAAGTAGAAATATTTCATTTAATTACAACCTTGGTTAATTCAATCATCGACGTTTTTCCGCGATGACGTTAAGTTCAACGAGGTCGTTAAAAACGGGACACCTTGATTCGTGGGATAAGATAGTCAATCGTTGTTGTTGGTAGATACGATTAGGTTGATCTTACGTGTAAGTAAAACCACGCGTCTCCTGTAGGCGTGCCCGAGGGTGGCATAAGATTAATTTATTAGCAATGTCTGCAATTATCTTCAGGTTACTCAATTGGTTTAGTATACTTAATACTAAGATAGTAGTTATGTTAGATAGAAAGAGTAAGAACGATGTTATTAATGTTGATTTAAAGCATTAAGATTGGCCTATGGTTATCTCACTAGTTGTCAAAAAGTTTACCACAGCTACCTGTCTTCAAATTTTTATTTTAATTACCAACCAAACTTAAGAAAACTTCCATAAAGATATTCAATGATAAACTAGGTCTGATAAGAATCTATATTTATAGATAAGAATGAAAGAAGAAGAAGAAGCATGGTGTCACTATGGAGAATTACCAAGGTATATCTGACATGACACACATAAAAAAACAGAGATAGATACTTCTATGTTTCTCATACACACACATATACATAAACACATATGTAGGTAACATGTTAGGTTGCATGCATGAGCTAGATAGGAAGAAGAGGTTCGCAAAATAATGCCTAATAGGAAAGTTGAATCGAGATCGGTGGGACATGACCCAGAAGAGTAAGAATCTGATGGTAAAAGGGGTCTCTCTCTTTCTCTCTCTCTCTCTTTTGATAGAATTGCATGAAAGCTTCTGTATATTTTAGTTACCAGGACCCTATAGGGATCATACTAGTATTATTTCCTTATATTTTTTTACATCTTAGTATTATTCTTATGTGTTAGTTTCTTCTGTTCAGAAAGATGGCGAGAATTGAAGTTGATTATGTTAGGACAGGGGAAAACTGACACTCGAAAAGACACCGTGGCATACATTGATAGACGCTATGGGGTCTATGGGTATTATATAGTCAGATAGAGAAAGATAGGTAGAATAAGAGAAAGAGAAAGAGAGAAGTTGTTGCTCATGTGACTCGACGAGTCTTACGATTCTCGTGAACGCGTGCAAGTGGTGATAGTGGTGGTGATGATGGTGATGGTGGTGGTGGTTTGTTGAAGGATTTGAAAGAGGGGAACACCGTGGGATCCCTTCTACCAGTCTGTGTACACACGAGTCTTGAGTATCTTTTTCTATTTCATGGGTAAGCGCCATGCCATGCCATGCCATGCTATGCCATGCCATGCTATGGTTATAGCAATGCCAATTTACATGGCTGGCTGTCCCACGAGAGATCACCGTACTTTTAGATAGAAAAGAGAGACAAATATTGAAAGAGTGAGAGAGATAGATAAATAGGAGAGTAGTAGTAGTAGTAGTAGTAGGAATAGTTGAATCTATCTAATGTAGGTCGATTGTCTACGGGTGATCTACGGGGACTCACTCTCTTATGGTCTATGGGATTTATCGAGGTGAAAGGTCGGATTTTACCTCTCCGCGACCCCAATGAAACAACGACGTTTCATCCGAACCTTCGACTACGCCCCCGTAATTAACTATGACGTTTATTTTCTTAGTATTTCACTTAGTTGTTAGTTTTTCTATTTGTTTTTTTTCTTTCTAAAATTCATGGAATTTTTTGAGCTATTTTTAAACGGAAATTTAGCCCAATATTTAAAAGGGATAAAAGGAATGGTAAATCTTTTTTTTTATTTTTTTTTTTTATAGCTATAGTTGTTACTTTTATTGTTAGTTAAACTTTTGGTTAAAAGATTCAGCTTAAAATTATTACTATAGACGTCTTTGATGGTGTTTTGAAGCCGACAATTTCCGCATTAGTGCAACGCGTAAAATCTAGTAATAATACTCACACACATACACACACCAATTACGTTCTTCTATGAATCGTGATCCTTGTTTTACGATGGCTCGTTATTTCGCCTTGTGGAAAATATTTGCTGCTGCGTGTTAAACGATGCGTGAAATTTTATGTGATTCTCGATTAAATCAACTCACCGTATTTGATTCTTTTTATAGTATCGATCTATCTATCTATTACTAGGTATCTTAATAACGTTTTTCCCTATGTTCATTTTATTCTTATATTTGATTGATTCATTAATGGAAAAGCTTTTATTTAATATTATCTAGTTTCATTTTTAATGTAAAACAATTGAAACGATTCATTGTTTTATTACGTGTCAAGGTTAGGTTAGATTCGTATGAATTATTTTTAATTTAATTGTTGATCATTTAATATCGTTTATAAATTTTTTCTTAATTCTTTTTTATGGGAACACCAAAATATAAAAAAAGAAATCTATTGAGTTGGCAACTAAGTAATTTCTGACTTTAAAAAGCTACCTATTGGCAAAATTTGCAATCATTTACTTGCCAATCCAATATATTTTCATTTATCAATAGAATTATAATATATATATTATAATATTTTATTTTTTATGGTTTAGTGTAATCATATGTCAAATATTTAGTAAATAAATTATTTATCAATTAAATAAAGTAACTTCTGGGATTTACCTTGTGTTATACCGTAAATACGCCATAGATTTATTCGTTTGATCTATAGGAGAATAGGAAAATCGTGAGACTGTAAATGGTATAGTAATAGTAGTAGTAATAGTAGTAGTGTAGCGTGAGAGGTTGACCTTATGATTACCTCATGGATAAAAACTATGGCCTAAGGGTTTTTGAACAAAACTTTGAACACAACACTTTGAATTCACCCTAAGTACATTGAACATATATATATATATATAGTTTCTTCCTATCTTTATCTACCATGAATGTCTAGGAAAATTCTTCTATTCTTAATTTTTATCTTCCGGCAACAACCTTCCGGCTCTTTTGTTTTTTTTTCTTTTCTTTTTCATGTTCGATTATCGCCAAGAAGAGTTTCGATTACCGTAATCGACGTGCTGTAATACTTCGCTTTAAGAAGAAGGGTGGGTAAGGGGTGGGGTGGGTTGAATGGTTTAGGGTTGATAAAGGTTAAATATCCTTTACGTAAAAAAATATTTTAAAAAACCACCTAGTACGTGTAATACTAGACTAACCATAAGATAATATTTACGTTTAAATTTCTAATGGGAACTTGACCATAGAATTTTGTCATAGAATGTTTCTGGAGAATTTTCCCATAGAAATTTGTCTATTTTAATAAATTAATACTTTTTATAATTATTGTTTCTGATATAAAAAAACAAAATAAACCACATTTTACGTGTAATACTAGACTAACCATAAGACAATATGCACATTTAAATTTTTAATGGGAATTTAACCATAGAATTTTGTCATAGAATGTTGCCAGAGAATTTTGCAATAGAAATCTGCCTATTATATTTAATAAATACTTTGTATAATAATTTTTTCTGATATCAAAAAAATGTATAAGAAAATTTATTATTATACTTTGTATATATATATATGGTATTTTGTAGAAATTAATAAAAAATAGAAAATAATAATAAAATTATATAAAACACGAACTAAAGATAAAATCAAATCGTAGATTATAATCCAATATAAATTCTAACCTAAATTAGAAATAGAAAACTTACGTCACTAGTCGTTGTACGTTCGTGACGTAAATCTTATCAACAATTTTATTATTATTATCATTATTATTAAAGAAAAATAGTAGACAAAAGATTTACAATTGAAAATACGACTGTCACAGAGATAAGGTGTGTTGTATTACGGTATTTGTTCATTGGTAGCAAGGTATATTCAAAGTTAGTTGAAGCGTGGACGCTTTTTAGCGCTTACGGATGAGTTGTTGTCTCTATTTCGAACGGGTTCCTTATCTGAATGAATTATTAACTCGTCGTCGACCAATGGAATTTCCATTTAAAATCTCTACTAGCTCTCCTACGAACTTATTTACCCTCCCGTTCTCCTCTACCCCTTAACTCGGCGTCCTTGGGAATAAGAAATGATCGAGACACGATATCTCGTTGGAACGCGTCGATATTTTCCATCTTTCTCTCTCTTTTATTTTTTTTTTTAAATATACAGCAAAGCATGCCATAGAAAAATCCTAGCTTTTGACTACCAATGATACGTTTCCACGTGTGTGCAAACGTATCATTGTTTATTTTATTAAAAGGTTATTGTTTATCTTTAGTTATTTTAAATAATAAAATGAAAAAATATGATAAATATGATTTTAATTTTGATTATGAGGACTTACCAAGACAGGTGATTGCATGATCAGCCGGTGGTCTAAGAACATTACGAGCCCAGGCTGCCCTTAATACTTCTAGGGCACAAGGTGGTCCACCGACCATTAATACACCTGGTGACACGTGACCTTTATACCTGAGCTGTCTAGTTGCATCGACGAGGGCCGCGTTCCACCAACATTTCGAATTTGCTTCCAAGAAACTCTGGAAATTTAAATGACAGATTTTTTAAACTTCTTTTACATATAAATGATAAATAATATTTTATACTAGTCTTAATACTAATATTTTATTATTTTTAATACTAATTTTTATTATTATTGATATATAGGTTATAGATAAATATTTCCTATTTTACAAATTAATATTTACTAGTAATTATTTAATTATTGTTATATTATATTTGCAAGTAATTATTATTATTTCTAACATACACACATACGCACACACAAAAACTGAATGTTAGATTCTTAAAATGAAATGTCAAAAATGGTAAATAATTTTCTTCACTTTTTAATCATTTATTTTCTAATTGAAAATTGAATTCGAAAAAAAGTAAATATAATGATCAATTAATCAAATTAGAATCGTTTATACTTAAGTGATATTTCCTAGGGATTATTTCCGTGAATTTTAATGGTACTCTTACTAAAATAAAGAAATGAAAAAAAGGAAGAAAAGAAAAATAAAGTTCCATCTCGTTTATGGGGTTTAAGGGAAGGGGAAGGGATGGTTGAAAAAAGACCATGGCACTTTCAATGGTGGTTAGCGACCTACGATAGAATCTCTTACGATTTATCCCCAATGAAATACGGCCAAGTCGTTAAGTGTTTACCGTTCATGGGGGCTGTTTAGTATCGTCCCACCCTTCTTAGTCGTCGTAACATTCTCTGAGAAACGCGTCCTACGACCCTTTTCGAGCTTTCATCGAACCCTACTTTTACTGAACGCATATAGCATATATTTACTTGCATATAAATATACATACATAGATATATATATACACATATGTTCACGCGTAATGTATATAACCTATAAAGTACAACTTCTATGGGGAATTTCTAGGAATAAGAACTCATATTTTACTCCGGAACGAATGAATGGGCTTTGAAGGATTTTTACTAAGATTTTTTCTTTCTTTTTGCATTTTCCTTTTTATAAATTATATATTTAAATTAAAAAAACTTTTGAACTTCATTGGAAACCTGAAGTATTGAACTTCATTGGAAACCTGAACAACTGAAAAAATGAAATATTTGTCATTTTGTGTGTTTTTTTTTTCAACTTAGTACATAGGACAGTTTTAGATTTGTTATATAAAGGTTATATAAGTCTTTAGATTCTGTAAATTTTCAATAGATGGCTCTGTATTATAATTCTATTATTTCACGTTTTTTTTCAGATTTTTATATGACATAACCCTAACCCTTGCTTTTTATATTTTTTCGTAGTATTATTATTTTATATATTTTATTCTAATTGTGGTATTATTTTGTCTAGTGTTATAATTTATTAAATAATTTAGAATTATATTTAAATCAACATTTTATAACAAAACCACAGCAATGCGGGACTAGGATACTACACCATCCTAGTATATATATATATTTTTTTCTGTTCCCTTTTCTGCTATTCTTTTTTCGTCCTCGTCCCTTCCTACCCTTTATCCCTTGTTCGTAGTCGAACGCATGACCGTGAAATTAGTAGGAGGAGGAAACGTTCGAATCGATACGCGTTACCGAGTTATTTCGATTTACACCATACAAACTGCATGTGCAGCAGCAGTTTCTTTTACATCGCGACACGTAAAACCTTGTGTTATGTTATATACTATACAATACATGTGTATATATTTATATATATATATATATATACTATATTCGTTCTCGCAGTAGGAGACCAACTCGCATGCTGGGATACCGACGATAGAATTTAATATACTGTTTTTCTTCTTCTTCTTCTTTTTTCCCCATGTAATTTTTTTCTTTAAAAAAAAAAACAAAACTTATGAACAATCGGTTTGTAAGAGTTTCAATAATTTAAGTTTATATAAAATGAAAAAATTGAGACACTTGATTAATAATATTAATTATATTATTTATGAGTTTAATTCGTTGTGTTTATTGAAAAATCACCATAAGATTAAATGTAATATAATATGAATCAAAATTAGAAATTTTTACAATAGATTGAATATTAAATAAAAAATACTTTTTCTCTTTGCAACATTTAAACATATATCTGTTAAAGAATTTTAATATCATTTTAATATCATTTATAGTTTTTTTTTCTTTTTAAATATTGTCCATGTAAAATTAAATATTGTATTCTAATATATTCTTTAAATATTGTACAATATACATACCTATATATTTAAAATCGATGTTATGTAAAATTTATTTTAAAAACATTAAAATGTTCGTTGCTTTAATTTTGATAAAACAAAATAGAAAAAGAAGAAATAAAGGGATAAAATAAGTAATTGATGAAAAAAGAGCAACAACAACGTGGTATAGGGCGGATCTTCCTCTTCTTCTTCTTCTTCTTCTTCTTCTTTTTCTTAGGTTTATCGCGTTATTTCTATCAAGGATGTGTTTTCTCTTGGTTCGTAGGATGATTAAAAGTACCAACGTTCATTATTCATGCGCACGCGGATGCAAATATCCCGAGTAGGGTACGATCGGGCTTGTCTACGATCATAGAAAAAGAAAAAAGAGAAAAAATAAATAGAAAAACAGAAAGAGAAAGAGAAAGGGGAATCGTTTCCACCTATAAACAGCAACTGCAAGTTCAAAACGTGTAGTGGACCGTTATTTTCTAGTGCAGGTCTTCTATGCGTTTCTCTTTTTGCAATTAACCAATCCGATTCACCCTTCGTAGGGATAGAAAAAGAACCCTTATTCTTTTTATTTTTCTAATGTCACACAGTTGCACTTGACAGGACATTTTTCATTACTTAGTGTTTAGGTTCTTTCATGACAAATATAAAAAAAAAGAAGAATAGAACATTTCAAACCTAGAATTCACACATACAACCCCCATAAAGTTATTGTCCACATGTGTTAGTTAAATCCTCTCTCCCCATAGTGAAATGGGGAACCTACAGAAATAAATTCTATGTACTTGATGTCGAAAAGTAAGAATTATTCGAAATCTCAATGGTAGTTTTCCGCGTTTCTTTTTTATTTTTTTTTCGAGACGGGGAAAATTCTCGTGTCGCTATATTTTCCAAGTATAAATCTAGGCAGGCATTAAAAACGTATGCCCTGTGTCGACAGCAGTGAGGTCTGGTCCAGATCGATCGATAATAGGCATAATTTGCAATAGGGGAGAGTCGGGAGGAGGATTGAGGGGAGGAAAGTAAAAACAGTTTAGTTCCGCAATGCGGAAAAACGTTAGTCCTTTTAGAAATTTTCTAAAGTTGCAGTAGAATTGTTAAAAGAAGAAGAAAACTAAGAAGAAGGTTGTTATAGTTTCTTACGATCGATACTAGGCATAATTAGCAATGGGGGAGAATTGGGGGGAAGATTGGGGGGAGGAAGGTTGAAATCCTGTAGTTCAGTAATGCCGAAAAACGTTAGTCCAATTAGAAGTTTCCAAAAATTGCAGTAGAATGTTTAAAAGAAGAAGAAGAAGAAAAAATATGAAGAAGGTTGCTATCACCGTTTTTTATGAATGTTAACCAATCATTTCGTACGAGTGAAACCTTTTGATTACATCAAATTTTTCTTCTTTGCTTATTTGAAGAATCTACAAAGGTGGTGGTGCGACGATGGCAATTCGGTCCAGCGAACCAGATCGATTTCACGAGATCTCCCCTTCCATCCTACCACCTTTCGCTATCATCTCTTTCTCCTCTCATTTCAAATACCCTCCCCTCTCCTTTTTTCTTCCCTTTCTCTTCTCTCTTTTTCGTACACCGGCATACACACCATACCGGTCCTCGTCCTTTCCCATTTTCTTTCTCTCTTTCTCTTTCTTAACTTCGTCGAATCTTGTTTTAAAAAGAATGAAAAAAAAACATCTCATTTTTTTTTCTGCTCCGTTGACTCGACTAATCGTAGGAAAGTATCTTCATTTCTCATAGGATTTATTTTTTTTCTTTCTTTCTTTTTTTTTTATTTATTTATTCGAGATGACTCCCATTTTGATTATACATATATAGAGAATTATACTTTCCATTCAATGGAAATTACGAATGCATTATCAAAAGAAATATATACATAATTTTATTATATTTAAATGAGAATAAATTGATATTCAATTTAGGAAAAATAAAATAAGAAATACTAGTACTAGTACTAGTAATAATTATTTCTCCAATATTGGATACAATTTGTTTATTTATTTAATTTTCATATCTTATACGATATATCCTTTCAATTAAAATTTACAGAGAGAGATAGAGAAAGATTTGTTTGATTAAAATACAAAAAAAAAAAGTGAGGTTTTTTGATGTAGTCCATGACAAAAATTGAAGTTCAATCTTATACATTATACAGTAATATATTTAAATAGATGTTTTAATATGAAAATAATAGAGATTACATGCTAATCGTATTCATGATAGAATTTCCAATACAATCAACAACAACAACAAAAAATAAATAAAGAAGAAGAGTTTCACTTATAACGAAGTATCCCAAAAGGAGAACGCACGTGGTTGTTGTGTATTTTCTCGTGCCCAGCACCTATTGTTTATGGACACAGAAATGGTGATCGTGCGTGAAAAGGGGTAAAGGGGTGAAAGGGAAAATAGTAAGAGAATTAGAAAGATAGAAAAGATAGATTAGAAGGTATATAAGTTTGTAATAGTGTTGCTAATCGAGAACGTTGTTTTCTAACCTATAAGTGCACGGTAACGTTTCATATTGCTATTTCCTTTCTGGCAAGTTCATTGCCGGTATATATTTTTATATATACATATATATATATGTATAGATATGAATATAAATATATCGTATATGGTGGTACAGTCGTTTATCCTATCCGCTAATTATTATGCAATATATATATGCTTGCAACCGTTCACGCCAACTCAACTGGCTTGTCCTTTTACAGCAAACTACGTTTTCAAATGATTCAAGAGTCAAGTTTATTAACATTCCTAAATCAATTTATTTAAAATCTATACGAAAGATAATTATTGTTTAATAATTTCAATTAAATTTAATTTATTATATAATATTAAAATTGTAGATAATTAATATATTAAAATAATAATATTATATATTATTATACATTTAAACATTATATAATAATTTATTTTATAATTAAAATATATAATTTATATAATTATATAAAATATAGTTAAATAAAAATTAATTAAATTTAATATAATTAAATTTTTCGGGATTTATCATCGATTGTTAAAAATAAATTTGTTTCTAGATAAATTAAAATAAAATATTAAACCATAAATGTGTGACATTTTTTCGTTTAAATAATTATTACGCGTTATACTAGTTGATTTGTTCTATAAATTTCTGTCATTCGCAACACGTGAAGCTCGAGGGCGTAGCCCTTAGGTTCTCTTTCGGTCTCTTTCGAATTTTAATCAGTATAGTAGCAAAACCACCCCCCCCTTTCTCTTCCCTGCCCTTCATCTAGTAGAATGGTCACAAGCCATGTATTTGTGTTTATGTATGTGTGTGGGCACGCGGCTTTTGCGAGCATAAATCACGATAACATAATTTATATGCTAATACTGAAAGACTAGCACGTTAGCTTGAACCAAAGGTATGCTCGTTCGTTTAAAACCATGTGTTATAATATGCGTACCAATGCATTTATATATATATATACACATATACACATATATATAGTATGTATATATATAGGTATTCATCCATTGGCGTCGAGTTTTGCAATATTTTCTTAGTATTCTTTTTAAGGATAGATGTATGTTGCTTTTCAATTTGAAAACAGGTGTTAGGAATAAATTTAGATTGAAATTTTTGTTACATATTGTTTTTGCAACATTTAATATATTTTTTAATTGTATTATATAATATAATAGAAAAATTATAGATTATTTGTTTACTAGTTTGTAGTTTTCTTTTTTTTTTTTTTTAACTAGGCAAAAATCAATGATAAATGTTTATTTTAATTTGTATTTTATTTTTGTATTATTTTTTATAATTATAAAATGTGCGTGAAAAAGAATTATACTACGGTACATTTGTTTGTAAATTTTTCGTTGTCTTTTTTTAATAACAAATAAAAATAATCAATACTGAATTTCTTTTAATTTGTATTTTTTTTTTTTTGTATTATTTTGTATTTTTTATTATCAAATATTTAAATGTTCAAGAAAAAGAATATTTATATAAAGTATAATATGAAGATATTATTGAACTGTAGGTAGTTGTATGAATTTCGTCGAAGGAGAAATCTTATTGGAGATGAGAGAAAAAGAACAAAATGTTTCGAAAGTACCCGCACATACACAACACACACTTCTCGTGAAACTTTAACGATGAAAATCGGTTGCATTGGACCGATTACACTTGATCAAAAATGGATATATATATATATATAATATAATATAAATAAAAAAAAAAATATGAAAAAATCAACTATGGTTAATCTTTCAACTTCCATGAAGAAGGTTGAATAAAAAATAAAATGGGGTGAAATAATAGAAGTAAAAATATTAAAGTCATGGTTTTAAGATCGTTTCTATGACATCGTAAAATTACATACACATACACATAAACACATACATATATAAATATGTACAAGCTGTGAGGAGGGTTCGAACTTACAGTGAAACTAAAAAAATAGAAAAAAGAAAAATATTTTTCTCTTCTTCTTCCTCTTTCTCTTTCTCTTTCTCTTTCCTACTTTTTTTTCAGTTTGATATTTTTTTTGCAATTAAATCGGCAAACAAATAAACGAGGAATGGGCATCCCGCGGATAAACGAGTTCTTCCTCTCGCGGTGAAGATAAAAGTCGTGTGCTTGTTCGCGATATATATACGGGTACGTGGTTACTGATTTACGAAGTCTGAGGATACCAACGTTAAGGATACCAACGAGAAAGGATCTCATTTTAGATCTACGAGGATCGATGAATCATTATATTATGTGATCGTTTAGATTTTATTTTTAATTTTTTTATTTCTTGGTTATCTTTCTTTTCGTTCATATAATATTTCATTTATTGTCATCTTTGTTTCTGTGGGGTTGATATTTGAATTGTTAAAACAAAAATTATATATATATATTTTTTTTAAATTAAAAATACTTTAAATACTTAAAAAACTATTAGTATTTATATAATATTAGTAGTAATATACTAGTAATACTAGTAACACTAGTATATAATACTAGTAATATATAATATAATATTAATTCATAATTAATAAAAATATTTATTAAAGTATTTATGTAATATTAAATATATATATATTTTTTTTTAATTACCAATACTTTAATTTACTTATTTTAATTTACTTAAATTAACAAAATTACTAGTATTTATATAATTTATATATACATTTGTTTTTAAATTAAAAATACTTATAAATATATAAATATTATATTCATAATAAAATTTAAAACATTAATTTACCTAGCATTGCTTAGTGTGTAAAAACAAAACCCAGAAAAAAAAAACAAAGTAAAAAAGAAAAAATATGTTCTACTTGAAAGTACATTAAAAGCAGGTCTTTTTTTTTTAAAAAAAAAGAAAAGAAAGAAAAAAAAAACAAGTGGTTGGCATTCATTGTCGCGTATAAGGGACACACGATTCATCGACACCCTTATTCGTAAAGGGAGAGAGAAGTAGTGAAGAAAAGTAAGAGTAGTAGTAGGAGGAGGTTGACTTTTCCCTTGAGGAGGTACTTACTTTACCATTCTAGTGTTAGTAGTTAGGACTTGCCTTTTGAAAGCACAAGAGAGAAAGAGAAAACCCTTTTGTAAGTTCATCAAAGCTTTTTCAATTTAATAGCAGTTTTCTTTTCTTCTTTATGTTTTTTTTATTTTTTATTTTTTAAAAGTAAAATCAATGTTTCCCTTTGACATTTTGATTTGTAATTGTTAACACTAAATTTAATGACACTTAAAATGTATTTATAATTATTGTAAATGAACAAATGATTTGGGGTAAAATTTAACAACATAATTCAAATCATAATAATTTGTTTTTTAATTACAAATAATGAATACACCCTTTTAGGCATTTTCAAATTAATTTTGAAGTTTCTCATGTTCAAATTTAAATATTTTAAATCAAAATACTAGGTCATTATAAGTACTTGCATTTATAAAAAAAATATTTAGTTTCCATCTAACACAGATCTACATAAACACACAAAACACACACACACATATATATATAATTTAGTTACGTCTCAATTTAATTCATATTACTTTCGCTTGGAATCACTTTCCGGTCAAATCCAGTCACAGTCATGCGTTCTTGCTTTTATTTTCTAACTTAAAATACATATATATATATGTATATGTGAAATTTTATAACTATGGTAGTGTAGTATTTTCTTAGGCAGGTAGGCAAAAGGGTCTACTTCGTTCATTCGTCGAAAACGAGTTTGAAAGCAAGCAAAAAAAAAAGAAATAAAAAAAGATGAAATAAAGTGGGGTGTAGTTGTTGAGGGGGTTGGTTGGTTGGTTGGTAGAGTGGGGAATAGGAAATAAACATTCACACATACACATGTATATATATATACAGGTAGGATACTACAGAGTTGTAATGGTGTATAGTACTCACCTGAAACAAATTATAACCTTTATCGTACATCCACATCTCGTCGGCTGGATGTTCCTTCGTACTTTCACGTTGTCCGGCATTGAGAACTTGAGGAGGCGGACCTCTGGTCAGTTGTATAGCCAAAGACCTTTGTAAAAGTAGTAGGCATCTCGAGGGGCCTGAGGGACCCCCAGGGCCCGTTCCGTCTCCCAGTATCGAGGCCATTTTTTAAGGCCCGGTGTGCTAACGACACCGACGATTCGGTGATGGTGGTGGTGTTGTTGTTGGCATCATCACTACCTTACTCTTCCTTATTTCTCTTTCTGTTAATGATAAACAAAAAAAAGAAAGGTTTAAATTAGTATACATGTATGTGTATAGGTATGTGTGTATGTGGGAGAAGTGTCGATCAATCATCTTTCAAATTGTCTTTCTCTTCCTCTTTTTAAAAAGAGAAATTTTTTTGCGATCATATGATGCGAGTGTATGCATGTGTGTTTATGTACAAAAGTAGATAACTACAAGGTGTATGTATTATGGTTATATGTACTTATTTTTGAACGTATACCATGAGATAAAGAGAAAATATGAAGTATATATATATTCTTTGCAAGATGTTATATGGGTTGTTGTTGTTGTTATTTTCGTTCGAAGTTACGGGTGTCTTCTTCTTCTATATTTCGAAAAAAGAAAAAAAAAAAGTATTTCATTCTTTTATCTTTCTCTCTTTCTCATTCTCTTTCTTTTTCTCATGGTAGTTTTTTTTTTTTTTATTCCGTCTTTTTTTTCTATCACGAACCACCCGAGACCGAAACTAATTTCGATTTCCCGTTAAATTAGCAAATCGACTTATCTCCCGGGTAAAGACGACTATATACTGACTACCGTTTCCAATTTCGTGTAACGGTTTACGTATGTATGCGTATTTTTATTTTATACATGTATATATATTTATATATGTACAATAAATATTCAATAATATTTGTATCTTAATATTTTTATGAATTAATCAATGATCAAATAGATTAAGAACGATTACAAATATATCTTTCATATAAAAAAAAATTCATTGCTATATTGTTGGTTTCCAATGAATTTCGGAATTACTGAAATGTTGTTTTTTTTTTTATTTCGTGTGATTTTAAAATATAGGATAATTTTTATCGCGTTTATTTTTTATTTTTTATCGCTAATTTAAAGATTTAATTATTTAGAAGTTATTTACAGATAGCGCTGTATTGCAATTCAATTTTATAAATTTACATATGAAACTAATCTTGGTTTTTTTTTTTTTTAGATCTTTATATGTATTATTATTTTATATACTTTATTTTAATTGTGGTATTATTTTATTTGTTGTTATAATTTATTAAATAATTTATAGAATTATATTTAAATCAACATATATATATATATATATATAAATTTGTATGTACATAATTCATTTATATTTATAAAAATTAATTTATAATTTAAAGTAGTATATTTCAAATTCATTTATTTTTATTTCAAGTTATTCATCTATGAAAGTACACATATATACATATAAATGTGTGTAAGATAAGATGTTTAGCAAGGACGTTTACGAAACAAGGTCGTAAGAGAAATAGATAACACGGAAAGGAATAAGAAAAGGAAGAATAAATGTAGAGGACACGTTTATGAGACAGAGAGAGAGAGAGAGAGAGAGAGTTTAACACCGAAGTAAATAATGTTACCACTACGTATGTTTATTATTCTTATTATTATAGAAAAAGAAGAAGACATTTCTTCTATGATATGATGATACATATACAGTACATTCGGAGACGCGTAACGAATAAGTACGGCTAAATGTTCTAAAATCAATTTTCGGTTTATATTATATATAGACATACATATAGAAAAATTATTCTCATAGATTTTTAGTTTTAATTAATCGTGTTGTGTGGATGGGATTGACGTTATAATAAGTTGTTTTAGTGTTGGTTTGTTTTATCATTTTTAAGGTTCCCATTGAAGAGGGGATGTATACTTTGTTTGTAAGTAAATCAATTTTAAATATTACTATATGTATGCATGTATGTATGTATGTATGTATGTTTGTATGTATATAATTTATATAGGAATAAGATAGCATTTTTTTTTATTAATTAATAATAATAATTATATGATATAAATATATTATAACAGTATTATTAATTTATTTATACTATCAAATATTTATAATTATCAAACTTTAGAAATATATATTATATAATTATTTATATTTATATTGCAATAAATATATTATATTTATTTCTATGTATATACAAACATATATACATATATATATATA